AATCCTTGGGCATTGTGCACATCTTGCTTTCAAGATGTAGTTAAGACCCGAGGTTATTCCATTTTGTATGTTGCGCCTGAAATATGCATGCGTATGTTATCTATATGGTGTCTCTGTCAAATAAGTTATTTAGAAGGTAACCAATAGATTTTAGAGTTGTGCCCTGCGTGCGTACCTTATTGGCCAAACTACTATAGGCTGATCATACGGCTCAGGCCCAGGCCCACAATGAATTGTCCTATCTGAGGCACCAACTACAGGGTAAAGATGGTCCTCAAGGTTACTCATGTTGATATTTTACGTTTTATCTCAAAATTATGTGCCATCTCATATGTTTTCAAATTTGACAATCCTTATATTTTGGAATCATGAATCCAACACAGATCTATACTATGTCAATAAGAAAACATTAACCAATTTTTTGTTGTTATACCATGCATAACTTTGCGAGTTTATTGAACAGAAAAATATGTCTGGCAAAAGAGAATCTTAACCAGAAGGAGCAAAAATACAAGATACAGAGTAGTTTAACAAAATAAGGAAACATAGCATCCAACATGAGCTTCATCATGGCCTAAAAGGTAGCCACTCGCTTCAAGAGTGACGCGACTCCAGCATCTTCACTGGCCCGTGAAGGTGGAGAGAGCATGATACCAGGCTCATCTTCACTTGCAGCAGCTGATCCGCTCTCATTAGCTCCGGAAGGGATGGGATTTGAACGTAATGGAACTCGAAAATCAATTAAGAAATCCCTTAATCTTCTCATATGCGGACGTTGGTGACGATCCTGGTGGACACACCTTAGCCCAGCCTCTAATACTTTTTTGATCTCCTCATCATAGTGACCCCTCAGCCGCTTGTCAGCTGCCTCAAGAATGGTATTCGTCTCATGGAATTGCCTAACCTTCTTGATAAGGCTGTTTCCGCCATCAGACTGGAAGATTGGTTTTTCTCCACAGACAATCTCAAGCAGCAGGACACCTAAGCTGTAGACATCAGACTGCCCAGATGACTTGCCGGTGTCAACATATCCTGGGTCAATGTATGCTGGAGTGCCAATGATGTTGTCCGTGTCGCGTGAGGTTTGGGTATGGTTGATTTGTGTCACCAGCCCAAAGTCAGCCAATTTAGCATTGAAGTTTCCGTCGAGCAACATTAGCTGGCTTGATATCCCTGTGAACTGTGCACCTCTTACATTCAAGATGGAGGTAGGCAAGACCTGAGGCTATCCCCATTAGTATATTGCGCCTGAAACATGCAAGCATGCGTTATCGATCTATCTATGGTGTCTCTGTCAAATAAGTTATTTTGAAGGTAACCAAAAGATTTCAGAGGTTGTGTCGTATGTGTACCTTCTTTGCCAATCTAGCAGTAAAGTTGTATGGTCGTATGGTGCATCGTAAACTCGCTCATCCAAGGTATCAACCTTAGGGTAAAGATGGTCCTCAAGACTACCGTTCTTCATCATTTCGTAGACAAACAGTAAATAGTTGCCTTCTCGCACCAACCCACAAGATGCAGAATGTTCCGATGGTGTAGCTGGCTCATAATAATAATCTCGTTTCTGAATCCCTTTCTTGTTTGAGCTGATGGCACCTCTTCTGTAATTTTTTTTATCGCCACATCCTCTTTTATGCCCGAAATTGTTCCTTTGTAAACAATACCGAAGCCACCCTTTCCGAGCACATTTTCCTTTGCGAAGTCGTTTGTCCCATGTGCCAATTCCGCATAAATGAATGGCCTTGGAACGATCACTGAAAAGGGTAATGCAATGTCACTTGTAAACATTTTAAGCTAAGCTGTACCTTGTATACTGACAATATGGTTTAAAAACAGTGTAAGTTTCTTGTGAAAAGAGATGAGCAAAGGTACCTTCTGTCTTGGGCTCCTGACTCTGCATACCCGTAGGCTGTAGTTGTTGCTCTTGTGCCACTAGAAACACAGACCATACAAGATATTTTGTTCAGATTTAGTTTGCTCAGCTTGTAGTTTAACATATTTTCACCGACAGACGATACCTTTTGTCTTACGGTGGCACCGGAACAAAAGAAAAAATCCTACCAAAGCCAATACAGCGACAAGGACAGATCCTGTCACCGCGCCAATTGTACGATGACCCGATGAACGGAGACCTGTTGCCAAAGACAGCTTAGCCTGAGGTAGAGAGGAGTACTTATATCAGCAGCACTGCTATTCTTACGTATAGGTTCAACCAAACTTTTATGTAATGCTGCAATGAATATTTCATGCATATCTATATATACTAGTAAAACATATATAAGATATACGTGCTTATTCTTGTATATGAAATTCCAAGCCAGATAGCTGTGGCTTGGATGATTTTCTATTTGTTGAGATAGCTAGCTAAAAAAGAGGCTGTACTTATTAACGATTAACTGTGGCATGCATCCAAAAGTAGAGTAGATATTAGCAGCTGTGACTGAGGCCGACTTACTTGTGCATCCCTTTTCAAGGTACGGGCTGCCTTTGTAGCCTTTAGTGCAGCTGCAGACATACCCAGGGCCGTTGTTGGAGTCGATGCACTCGCTGTTGTCGCTGATGCAGGCGTACCCGGGGCTGCTGGGCGCCTCATCGCAGGACAGGGAGCTACCGTTGCCGCCGCGGATTGCCCAGTCCAGCAGCAACGGCATTCTAGTTCGGTCGACATCCATACGAAGGTCGGTCACCTGGAATGTGTAGTTCTCCTTCTCCACGATGAAGGCGTAGTCGCACTGACAAAATTCCTGGTTGGCGTGTGACCAGTAGCCGTCGCTGGTGAAAACCATCTTGTTGTCTGTCAGGCCCGCCGGGATGTTGACGTGGCAGCAGCCGACTCCGTCACAGGCGCCGTCCTTGGCGCTCTGGGAGTCGTTGGCATAGGTGACGCACCCGCTGTAGTAGGTGTAGCCGTAGCGGCCTCTCAGCCCGCTGTTGGTGTAGACCAAAGTGTTGCAGCCGAGGACGAAGAGTTGGTTCCCAGTGTTGGAGATGCGGTACATGCCGTCACGATTGAAGTCTACCGAGCCAGAGCTCGACCTGACGGCGCCGCCGGAGGAGTTGTAGCACTGGTACGCCACCGGCAGCATCACCCGGGCCTCCGGGCGAGGGGTCACGGACAGGTTCAAGACCTGTATAGGAGCGCCGGTGTTGAATAGAATCGGCATGCTGTTGACGCAGGCGATCTCAAAGCCTGGGCGGAAGCATCCTTGGCCGATGCCGAACGGGTAGGGGATGTCGACACCGTCACAGCTCGCCTGGCAGCCTGGCTTTAAGGTGAGTCGACTCTCCGCGGTGTCTGCAAGGAGCAGCAAGGATGCGGTTGCCATAATCGCTGCTCTGTTTCTCAACAAGCTACTACGTGCACTTGATAGGCTAGCTTCCACGGCTGCACCAACGTTTATAAGTAGGAAAGGAGAGAAAGGAGAGGGACATGTTATAATGGAGAAAATAATAATACTGACATAATAAAACAGAAAAAGGTGATGAATCATTATTAATTCTTAAGTAATAAATAATTAGATAAAGTCTTTTTAAGATGCTTCCAAGTTATTTTGGGCCGTTCAAATCATTTGTTCAAGGACCAAGGCGATCTTTCAATTCGGTTTAGTTTCTTTTTAGTTCAGTAATATATTGATACTTGCACCATGGAATTTGCTAGATATTCCCTCCGTTCCTTTTTTTACTTTGCATATAAGATTTGGTCAAAGTCAAACTGCACAAAGTTTGACCAAATCTATATAAAAAAATATGAACATCTACAATACTAAAACTATATAGTATGAACATACGTTTCATGATGCATCTGATAATATTGATTTCATATTGTGAATGTTTATATTTTTTAATATAAAGTTAGTCAAACTCTACAAAGCTTGACTTTGACCAAACCTTATATGCGGACTAAAAAGAAACGAATGGAGTATGGATGAATACCTACTGAAAATAAATTCATTTTGCCATGTTATTGACTTGTACGCTCAGCATTAATTGGTTAGACCAAGTCAGATGCGTGATACTAATTAGGAAGGGTTAACTAATTGCAATATCGATTGCTTTTTCTAAAGGGGTACTGATCATTACATGCATGATTGTTTAATTGCATTGCTACTTAGTGTACTACTTTGCAATCACTGTCACATAACCCCTGTCCCAAAATACATCCAATTTTAGGTTTGTTCTAAGTTAAACTATTTTTAAGTTTGACCAAGTTAATAGGGAAGACTTTCAAACTCTAAGACACCAAATTAGTATCATTAGATCCATCAGAAAATATGTTTTCCAGAGTGTAGTTATTTGGCGGCTTAGATTTTGGTACTATTCCCTATAAAGTTGGTCAAATTATGAGGCCTCATCTATGAAATTCTGTACCAAATCTGTGAGGCCTCATCGATATGATTTGAAGCCACAAACACCACCTGCAATCTGAATTCTGAAGTTCGTATCATATCATCTTTTCTAGTCTGTCAAGCCAAACATTTTTTTTAATCTAGTGTTAGGCATTTGCCCTGTTTAACTAAGGTGTTAGAAAGTTGATTGTGAATCATCTGGCACATGGATGATGCAATACAACCCTACAAACATTTTTTTTGCAACATGATGCCTATTACTGACTGTTATAAGAAACCCAGCTGTTCAGAGCTTATAATGAATTTTATTACACAACAAGCAAAAACATGTTTTGCCATGTTCAGCAAAAACCATAGCAATTCTTCTACACCTTTGTAAAACTCCTCTATACTGATTATTTTCATTGCGTTGTCAGAAGTGAAACATGGCGGAAATCAAGCCAAAGGCATTGCTGGCACGTAGCAGAATAGGAGAAGAGCCATACTCAGATCGGCGTGACCAAGCTAATCACCTACGTTGTCCTTGGCGCTCTAGTCATGTCTTCCGTTTATTACGCCTATCAATACTAGCAGAGCATGTTCGGGGATTGAATTGCCCAAATAGAAGAGCTACTGTCAATGAGACCGTCGCTGCCTCGGCCTGCCACTTAGCGTGCTTCCAAGAAACAAAAATGGAGCTTGTTGACCCTATGATCGCCTCCTTCTTGGGCGGCTACAGGCTCAAGGGTTTTGCGCAGCGTCCTGCTATAGGCACTCGTGGGGAAATCCTTCTGCTTTGGGATGAAAACCACATGAAACTTGAAAACGTGCACTTTGGAACCTACACCCTCTCGGAAAAGATCACCATCATTAGCTCCGGTACCTGTTTCAACTTCACCACGGTCTATGGACCGACCAGAAATAACCTGAAGGACGATTTCTTTAACGAGTTGATGGCTGAGAAACCACCTCAGGGTGATGGATGGTTGGTCACGGGCGACTTCAACCAAATCTACCGCGCTCGTGACAAGAATTGTTCCAATGCAAACCGTAGCCGCATCGCTCGCTTCTGAGACGCCCTCAATTTCTGTGAGCTCAAAGAAATTCACCTCCAAAACAGGAAGTTCACCTGGAGCAATGAACAAAGCAACCCAACCATGTCCAAGCTTGATGGCTTCTTCTGTAATGAGGATTGGGACATTATTTTTGACAAGCATATCCTTCAGGCTCTGTCATCTTCCCTCTCAGATCATTGCCCACTTCTACTAGCTAACGACGATGGCCCCCGACGACCGAGGACTTTCCGCTTTGAGAACTTCTGGACAAACATGCATGGATTCCGCCAAACCGTCCATGATGCTTGGAATGAGCCCTCCATGCACTCTGAGGCGTACCAAAGGCTCTTCCACAAACTTAAGCTTACTAGTCAGAGGCTTAGGTCCTGGAGTAAGACCCTCTTCTCTCAAGCCAAAGTACAACTGCACATGGCTCTGGAGATCATCTTGCGTCTTGATGAGGCCCAAGACCATAGAGATCTTAGCGCGGAGGAGGTGGACCTTCGTAAAAGACTTAAGAAAAGAGTGATCGGGCTGGCTGTAATGGAAAGGGCTAGGAAAAAGCAAAACTCACGGATAACAAATATCAAAGAGGGGGATGCAAACACCCGTTACTTCCATCTTCGGATCAACGGGAGACGCCGGAAAAACCTTATCCACAGACTCAAGCACGAAGGTGGCTGGGTGACTAGCCATGATCATAAAAGCAGCATTGTCCAGACACATTTTTCCAACATTATCAAGAGGGGTTCGCCACGCTCCAAGACTATCAACTG